GAGAGCCTCCAGCACATTCCAGGAGCTGAAGGGATGGAGGGACAGGACACACAGAATGGGAAGATGGAGATTTGATGGGATTTTGGGAAGGAATGAGGGTGTGAGGGGCTGGGATGGATTTCCCAGAGCAGCTGTCCAAGGTTGGAGCCACCCGGCTCTCAGGGAATTCTGGGATCCATGGGATGAGCCCCAAACCCTTCCAGGGTTCCATAGGCAGCTCCAGACGGGATTTTGGGAAGAAATATTGGATATCCTTGGAATATCCAAGCGCAGCTGGATTGGGAATTCCCTCCCACAGGTGCTGGGCCTGGCCATGGCCTGGCTGCACTGGCAGCAGCTCAACGAGATCCATTCCCGCCTGGATTGCGTGGATTCCCGGCTGCCGGAACCGCGGGATCTCAGCTTCGCCTCCCTGGATCTCCGCGGCGCTGGGTGGTGCCTGTGCCTGCCCAGGGAGGGCGGATACGTCCCGGTAAATCCCGGGAATGAGGAGGAGGAGGAGGAGGAGGAAGGAGCCGCCTGCAGCAGCAAAGTGTGAGGAGGAGGAGGAAGAGCGGAAGGTGGAAAAAATGGGATTTTTCCTCTCAGCTCCCGAAGTTTCTCTAGGAAAATTGGAAAATAATGGAATTTTTCCTCTCCGCTCCTACTGGGAAAACTGTAAAAAAGTGGGGTTTTCCCTCTCAGCTCCCATTAGGAAAATTGGAAAATAATGGAATTTTTCCTCTCCGCTCCTACTGGGAAAACTGTAAAAAAGTGGGGTTTTCCCTCTCAGCTCCCATTGGGAAAATTGGAAACAATGGGATTTTTCTTCTCAGCTCCCTTTGGGAAAACTGGAAAATAATGGAGATTTTCCTTTCTTTGGGAAAATTGGAAAATAATGGGATTTTTCTTCTCCGCTCCCATTGGGAAAACTGGAAAGTAATGGGATTTTTCCTCTCAGCTCCTGAAGTTTCTTTGGGAAAATTGTAAAATAATGGGATTTTTCTTCTCAGCTCCAGTTGGGAAAACTGAAAAAACAGGAGGTTTTTCCTCTTAGCTCCTGAAGTTTCTTTGGGAAAATTGTAAAAAAATGTTTTTATTTCCTTTCAGCTCCTGAAGTTTATTTGGGAAAATGGTAAAATAATGGGATTTTTCTTCTCAGCTCCCTTTGGGAAAACTGTAAAAAATAGGGGTTTTCCTCTCAGGTCCCGAAATTTATTTGGGAAAACTGTAAAATAATGGGATTCTTCTTCCCTGCTCCCATTGGGAAAACTGGGAAATAATGGGGTTTTCCCTCTCGACTCCTCAAGTTTCTTTGGGACAACTGGAAAATAATGTGATTTTTCTTCTCAGCTCCTACTGTGAAAACTGGAAAATAATGGGATTTTTCCTCTCAGCTCCTTTTGGAAAACTGTAAAAAATGGAGATTTTCCTTTCTTTGGGAAAATTGTAAAATAATGAGATTTTTCTTCTCAGCTCCAGTTGGGAAAACTGTAAAAAAATGAGGTTTTTCCTCTTAGCTCCTGAAGTTTCTTTGGGAAAATTGTAGAAAAATGTTTTTATTTCCTTTCAGCTCCTGAAGTTTTTTTGGGAAGATTGTAGAAAAATGTTTTTATTTCCTTTCAGCTCCTGAAGTTTCTTTGGGAAAATTGTAAGATAATGGGATTTTTCTTCTCTGCTCCCACTGGGAAAAAATGTAAAAAAATGGGAATTTCCCTTTCTTTGGGAAAACTGTAAAAAACGAGATTTTCCCTCTCGACTCCTGAAATTTCTTTGGAAAAACTGTAAAATAATGTGATTTTTCTTCTCTGCTCCCTTTGGAAAACTGTAAAAAATTGAGATTTTCCTTTCTTTGGGAAAACTGTAAAAAATGGGATTTTCCTTCTCAACTCCCACTGGGAAAAACATAAAAAAAATGGGGATTTTACTTTCTTTGGGAAAACTGAAAAACAAAAATGGGATTTTTCCTCTCAGCTCCTGAAGCTCCTTTGGGAAAACTGTAAAAACGCTGGGAATGCCTGAACCCTCCCTAGACTGCGAGGGGGGATTTGGTTTTTTTTCCCCAATAAATGGAATTTCCGTCATGTTTTCCTCATTGGGTTGGGGGTGGAGTTCCCGCTGATTTCCTGGGAAATCATGAAGGAAATCCCAGGAATTCTTAAAATCAGGATGGGTTTGATATTCCCGGGATGGAGGAAATTCCCTCTGCTGGACCAGCTGAGGAATTTTGCCTATCCCAATAATTTGGGTTTTCAGCCCAAATTCATTGATCCAGGTGGGAATTCCCTTGGGATCTGGGAATTCAAAACTGGGTTGCTGCCACCCTGGAGTAGAGGAATTTCAAAAAAAGGAAATTTATCCAAGAAATGTGAGATTTTTCTCCCAAAAAAATGTGGGGTTTTATCCCCCCAAAATGTGGGGTTTTATCCCCAAAAATATGGGGGTTTATCCCCCAAAATGTGGAGATTTATTCCTGAACATGTGGAGGTTTATTACAAAAATGTGGGGTTTTATCCCCAAAAATGTGAGGTCTTATTCCCCATAAATGTCAACTTTTATCCCCAAAATGTGGGGGCCTCATCTCCCAAAAATGTAGGGGTTTATCCCAAAATGTGCGTTTTTATCCCCAGAAATGTGGGGTTTTATTCCACAAATGTGTGAGTTTATCCCCCAAAATGTGGAGGTTTATTCCAAAAATGTGGGGGTTTGTCAAAAAATGTGTGGGTTTATGCCCAAAATGTGGGGGGTTGTCCCCAAAAATATAGGGGTTTATCCCAAAAATGTAAGGTTTTATCCCAAAATGTAGGGGAAAGGAAAAGGGAGAAAATAGAAAGAAAAAAGGGAAAGGAAAGAGTGAAATTCAAAGGAAAAAATGAAAGGGAAAAGGAAAGGGAAAAATGTGAAATAGAATAGGGGGAAATGTGAAAGGAAAAGGGAAAAAAGCAAAGGAAAAGGGAATGGGGAAAAAAAGTGAAATGAAAAGGGGGGAAAAAAATAGGAGGAAAAAACGTGGAAAGAAAAGGGGGAGAAGGGAAAGGAAAAGGAAAAAAGGGGAAGGGACAAGGACCCAAAATCCATTTTTCCCGAGAGTACTGGAAATCCCGTTTTTTTTTTTTTTTTTTTTTTTTTTTTTTTTGGTGGCAATTCTCATGAATTGGGATATTTGGGAACGGGAGCTCAGCCTGGCTCCTGCGCATTCCCAAACTGCCGGGCTCTGTCTCCCTCTCCCGACCATTCCCAGCTTTCCCTCCAAGCCCAGCAGCCCCAATTCCCAGCCCAGGCCTCGAAAACTCCTCTGGATCCCAATTTTTCCCAGTGGAAGTGCAGCTGGGGCACCTTTGGAATATTTGCGGATATTTTGGCCAAAATCCGGGGGTTTTTGGAGATGGAAAAGGTAAAGCTGGGAGCAGCTCAGGGAATTGGGATGAACTCAGATATTTTGGGAATTATTTCCCTGTGGGCTCCTGGGATTTTACTTTGCTTCCTTCTCCCCTCTCTCTCCAGGAAATTTAATAAAAACTGGGAATTCAATAAAACCCTGAGGGATTCAAGGTGATAAATTCCAATGAATTCCTGTGGATTCAGAGGGAAAAAGCAAAATTCCATTTTTTTCCTCTTGATTTCCAGGACAAAAGTTGGATTCTGATTTCATGGTGGGGGTGGGGCAGATTCTATCCCAGGATTCATCCTGGGATTCTTGGGGAAAATGGATTTTCCCTCCTCTTGGGCTCCCGACTCAGCCATTCCCACAGAGAACGAAATGCCTGGAAAATGGGAAAAGTGGATTGAAGCAGGAAATTCCCAAATCTTTCCTCAAAATCCAACATTCACAGGGACTCCGAGGACATTCCCAAATTCCCTGCTCCACAGGGAAGGGAAAATCCGATCCAGCGGGAGCTGGGATAAAGCTTGGATCCCACCCGGACTGGGACATGGGATCATTCCCGAGGGAAAAGCCCCGATCTGGGAGGAGTCCAAAGCTCCAAATCCCATTTCCCAATCCCGGTTTTTCTCTGGAATGAAGGGCCGGGAGCCGTTGGATAGGAATTATTGATATTCCCGATAAAAGGCTGCAGGGAGCGGAGGAATCCGGGCGGAAACGGCAGCGGAGCCACGGCCAGTTCCCGACCCCGAATTCATGGATGTGGAAAGGAAAACGTGGAATTGGGAATAATTCCAGGAATTCTGGGGCAATCCCGATCCTAAACCCACTCAGGCTGGGGGGGATTCCCCAGGGGCTGATCCCAGCTCTTCAGGGAGTTTGGCATCATCCTGTGAATGGGGTTTGGGATCATCCCATGGATGAGGATTTGGGATCATCTCATGGATGGGATTTGGGATCATCCCATGGATGTGGGTTTAGGATCATCCCACTGATGGAGTTGGGGTTTGGGACCATCCCACTGAGGGGGTTAAGGATCATCCCATGGATGGGATTTGGGATCACCTCATGGATGGGGTTTAGGATCATCCCATGGATGGGGATTTGGGATCATCCCACTGCTGGAAATTCCTGCCACTCCCTAAGATCCAGACACGGAGCCCGGAAATCAGAGCAGTTCCCCTCCTGAATCCCTGTAAAACGAACCCAAATCCACAGGGAAAAAAATCCCCCCCAACCCTGGAAACCCCAAATCCTGCAGGTTGGGGTGGATTTCCCCCATCCCGGTGGTCCCACGTGGAAACCCCATCCCTGGTCAGGGCCGGATTCCGTCGGCTCCGCGTTCCCTGCCGGAGCTCCCCGTGATCCTCCGCGCTCCGGCATCGACCGGCGCTGCCCAAAATCCATCGGCAGCCAGAGCCGCTGGCACTGGAGTGGATGGGATGTGGGAAGAGCAGCTCTGACTCCAGGCAATCCCGGCTTTCCCTGGACCTGCTCCGCAGCCCGTTCCCAAATATTTCTTTTTGGGGGAGCTCAAGGTGAGTTTGGAAGGGGAAAAATCTTTTTTGGGGTTTCACGGCAGGGCTTTGCTTTCCCTGCCCGGACTTCCATGGAATTAGAGTTGGGTTTTCCAGCGGTTCTGCTCCGGGTTGGTTTTCAGGGATTTAAGGAGGGAAAAGCTCTGTGTGGGAAATATCTGAGAGAAAAATCCCAAATTCTCCCACCCCAGAATCGAGCAGGACCTTTGGTTTATCCGTGTCTAACAAAGCCTGGCTTTACCCCGGGGTTCTTTGTGTTGCCCTGCTCATCCAGATTTCCCAAAAAAATCCTGTTTTTTCCCAGCTGGAAGGGTTTGTATCCCAATCCATCATCTGGGAACCCCGACCTACCTGAATTTCCTGGAGGTTGTGATCCTTCATCTTTTAAAACTTTATTTTTAAGAGTAAAAATATTCCTGCCTGAGGCTGGGGGGTGTTTTCCTGCTTTTCCTGCTTTTCCAGCTTCCTAAAATCCTCAGGATTCACCTGGAATGTTTTTGGGAAGCCAAGGCTTGTGGATGACGTTGTCCCTAAAACTCCCCAGTTTGGGTTTTCCCTCCAGAGCAAAAACCCCTAAATTTGTTTGTCCCTAAATTAAATCAATTCCTGCCA